CCAAAAGGGAACATTACGATCACTTAGCTTGACCTTCTCTGTAACACAGCCCAAAGAACCCAACCCAGTAATTTCTACAGCAAGCCTGCAACTTTGGTTTGACCTCTAATGCATCATTAGGTAGGATACTTAGTACAAGTAATGCAGAAGGCACTTCAATTGCTAAACAGATTCATTGGCTTTTAAAAATGTACATCTTAGCCTGAATTGTCTTGGTCTAGCTTTCAACCATGTAATGTTTTATCTTTATTTATTTTCTTATCAGGTGTCTTTGTGACGCAGGTATGGGGACAAGAGTTTTCTTATATGTAGCGCTAATGGCCTGGGACTAGATAGAGGGGAGCACAAAAGCTATCCTGTAACAACTTTTATTAGTAAAGGGAAAGTTAACATCACCCTCTGAATCTTGACACTAACCTCAACAAGATGTGCATATCTCTATATATTTGCACAATATATGGACAAATAGACACATATCTGTATACCTAGACAGATCTATAAAGCAAATAATAAACCTATTCAGCCTTTGTATATGCACTTTTATATTCAGTGGAAGAGCAGGTGTATGTGTATATCTAGAATTCAGATACTGGTAGGTAACTATTATATGTAGAAGTTCACACACACAAGAGGAAATGACATAGCCACTTCACCTCCTTCCACTCAATAGGAGACTTCTTGCGTAAGGAGGTCCTGCTTAAACTTCTAGACACAAGAGCACTTCTTGTATCTCCTGATACCCTTAAATCTAACTCAGAGATTCTCAATTTCTCTGCTCCATCTGCTGGTTTCTGACTGTATGACAGTGCAAGGCAGGAGAACTACCCAGCTTCTATGGGCACCATTAACCTAGCATGGAGGGCTTAATCAGAGGAGAAAGGGCACAAGGCACAAAGCATGTCAAAATTTGTAGATGATGGGTAGCATAAATAACAAAAATGTAATTTTCGTATAAAGTAGGGGTCATTTTGCTGTCTTGGATGAGTGAGCCCTTACTCTGGCTGTAAAATAGCCACTTATGTATTAAGTAGTGTGGACTTTAAGAATTGAATGAAGCGTATCACTTGCAGGAAGCATCAAGTGGAAATTTCCAGATGAGGACTTAACTGAAAGGTAACATTCTCTCTAAAATACTGAAATATTGCAACAAATATCTGTCCAAAGTAATCCATTAAGTTTCAAAAGATATATTCAGGACATGGAAATATGTCTCCGAGAAAATAGCCCGAAATGCCATGTTTGTTCTATAAGCATGCATACTTGCTTAGGCTTCCAGAAATTGAAATAACCACACATCTTAAATACGTATTTTATACAGCATACAATGAAAAGTTTAGCTTTAAAAGTTGTTAGCTTTAAAACTGACCATAAAAGTGTTGTTGGGTTGCGCACGTGCTTTGACACATCGGCAAGGAAGAAGTCTAATTAATGTTTGTAAAATGTTTCTTCAGCAGCAAGACGGTAAGGAGAAGGAGGTACCCTAACAGGCCATTACTGTTTTGTTTAGATGGCCTGCAGCCTTCCATTCTTTGATTCTTTTACAAGATGGCTGCTATTATTATATTGGTAAAGATGCTGCCAGAGGTGGTCAGCACCGAAGTCAGACCGTGTCATTTTCTTTCACCAGTTGCAATACAGAGAAGGGCAACACTCATAAGCAGCATGTGATTCTCTTTGAGCGCATTAAAATTGTTGCTTAGTATGAACTGCCTGACCATAGTGACCCAGTTGCATGCCATATTTTCAAGGCACCGGATGTGTCCTGTGAACCGCCCATCCCACAGATAAAGGCTGTGGGTTAACAAGGTAATAATCAGGTTTCTAGCAGCCAAAGCCTCAGGCCAAAGCTCTGAAAACAGAATAAAACTAGAAACTACACTGACCAAAGCACTGGCTGCCCAGCCAGTGGCAGCAATCACCCCCTCCCTCCCAAAGCAGCCCTGTTCTGGTGCGGCAGTGAGGGGGCAACCACAGGCACCGGGGCGCCTCCGCTCCTGTGTGAAAGTCACTGACCAGACAGGGAGATGCAGGCCCTCACTGACAGGTTTTCTTCTGGTTCTGCCCCCAGAGAGCTCCGTGTCACGCAATCTGGGAACTAGAAACATTTTGGTTTCTTTGGTTTCAAAACAGATGTCCTCCTAGCTCTTATCGCTCATTCACAACTGCTTTCAGATGTTTCCTGAGACACTGAGGCCTAGACCATCTGTCAGGTTTTTCTCAGTCACAGCATCAGTTCTGGGGTTCTGCTAAGGTGCCCTATCAAACCAGGATGAGACATCTCCTCCTCCTTCACCAAGCCCACTGCAGTTTATAAAGCAGCAATGCACCCTCACAGCCAGAAAGCCATCTCTTTCTGCACCAGAGGAGAGGAATGAACCACAGCGAAGTACCAAGCACTACACCAAGACCTGCATTTCACGGCAGCTTCTTTCCTGAGTTCTCGCGGTGTACACGCATACACAAAACTGTACAGTGTTTTGCAAACCTCACTGTGAGATGCAACAGCCTTAAACCGGCTTTATATACCTATCCCAGCATGTCCTGCTTTGAATATATGTCATACACCGTACTGAACCTCTCCTCCTACGTACACCTGCTTCAAGTAGAAGTCAGGCCTCACAACATGATGTTGCAGTTTGTGTAGTACAGAAAACTCTTTCACACAAAAGGGCTAAGCTAAGGCAAGGAATAAAGTGACATTTTGGGTAAGATCATCATATTTTCTCTGCTTAAAAAAGTCGCTTATAAGATTTCAGGTCCTACGTCAGGAAAAAGGTAAAAGGAGTCCCTGCACAGTGCCAACAGGCATGCTCACTGTGCCAGTTTGGAAAGGTCAGAAAGCCTCTGGCTCAGAGTTCGGCAGGACAAACAGTAACTTTTGCTTCTCCAAAGGCAGAGCTCTGGCTTTTCTTTTAAGGACCAGTATGATATAAGACGCATGGTCAGAGAAAAAGAGTGGTCAACACTGACTCGTGCTAGCCAACAGTGACTCTCATGTATTTTCCATTTCTAGGGAAAAACTAAACAAGCCTGTCATGTAACTTATGGCCAGCCACAAACTCCTTAAACAAATGAATACAACCAGTGCTGGCCCTTACCCAAACTTCCCACTCAACCTTGTGATTCAAGGTCCTCCCTTTGACACAATGGGCAGCAGTTCAGCATAAGGCCATCAGGCTTGATGCTGAAAGCTAAGGCTGGGAATATTGGAAAGGCAGAAATTGTATTGATTTCCGACAGTAAAACAGCTTGTTGTCCTATTACCAGAACAGCCAGGGTTTGTATAGAAAGACTGGCCATTGCTTTGTAACATACAATTCTGACATAAAATTTCAGCATTCCCATATCATTCCAACTGTGATGGAAAAAAAAAACAACAAACATGCAAGTAAGTAAAATTTTCTAGAAACAGGATGGTTCACTTGACTACTAAGTTATGAAGTAACAACACTCCCAAAACACAAAAAAGGGGGAAAAAAAAAAGGCAGCTGCAATGCAGCTATCTTTGAATTACATGACATATTTCAAGTCTTTTCTAAGTATTAAACAGATTACAGACAGATTTTTCTAAGTATTAAACAGACAGATTACATCTTCATGTTTTTGTCCTAACAGCACCACCTCCTGGTGCAGGAAAAAAACAAAACAAAACAAAAAATAACAACAAAAAATCTTGCTACAAATAAACAATCAAAAATTCTTTCTAGAACTGTGCCAAACAAATTTTAAAATAATAGCACACGTAGTACATAAAGTCACACTTTACTCCTGTCCTCCTCCCTGCCCTCAAGGACTCCAGCCCACAGTACACCTCCCATACTATCAGACTGCAATGGCTACAGTTCTTACAAACATGTTTGCTATCTTGTGATACATACCTCCAAAATTCTTGGCACAGACTTGTTATGAAGTCCTGTGTCAGATCCAAATCATGGCTCTCACACAACAGTACCGGAGACAGTACTAGTTCCTCCTCTTCTGTTTTTAAGTGTTTGTTATAACACAAGCTCACCTCTGTCTTTTCTCCATTACAAGCAAGTAACAACAGAATGAGTTGCTGCTGCCTGCACATTGTTACAGCCTCTTCAGGGCTCATGTAAGAATAGGACTTAACAACATCATGCAAATTATGCTATCACTCTAGTGGGTTTTAAAATACTATCACTGTTCCATATGTATTAAAACCAAAAGTTACTGAATGTTGCACAAAAGCTAAGAAGAGAATTGGCTCCATTAAAGCAGGTACTGCCCTTTTATGGCATACAGCCAGCAGAATTAGATGATCGAAGAGCAAAAAGTCATGACTACTGAGAGATAAACACAGGTAACTGTTAGAGATATGTGATTTTGTATACAGCATTGTAAATGAGTGACTTGGTCAGCAAATGGCACTAGCTGTACACACATTTGTTTCCCCTTGTATTGTAACATTAGACTGTTACAGGCAAGCTTCTGCCACAATGGAATCACCAGCTTGGACCCATTCTGGACGTAAGTGGACAAACTCAGCTGCTCATCAAAATTTTACCATGCAAGTTGTTTCTGAAGAAAGTCTAAGAGGAACTGATATGTAAGCGAGATCTTCCCAACACTTAGGGTTTATACTTGTAGAGACAGAGCTGAGTCTATAAACTTACTCTATACAGAAAACAGGTTGTGTGAAACAAAGGCAACAAACAAATAGAAGGACAAATGAAAACAGGTTGTTCCAAACAACTTTGACAATGTATGCATCACCACAAGACATTAACAGCAGTTGGGTACACCTGTATTTACCAGGCAATTTCTACCTGGCACAGAACCCATTTTCTTTAAAAAAAAAAAAACAAAAAATAAACAAACAAACAAAAAAAAACACACAAAACAAACAAACAAACAAAAAAACCAAACAAACAAAAAAACCCACGATCTTTAGCATGTCAAATACAACTACACAAGTCAGAAAGGTAAGTATTGTTATTAAAAATTCCTGGTTAATTTAACTGTGGCTGTTTTTCCAGCTGCTGCAGAACCTGTCGATGTGTTACCTGGAACTTTGGGAAGAGAAAGCTGGTGTCATGAACATGATACAATCCATGAACGCTTGGATATTATTGAAGAGGTAAGAGCTACTGCGTTGGTTCCTGGACTATACTAGACCTCTGCCTCAGCCTTTTGACAAAACAAAATAAAGAAGAACCACATTGCTAGCCACTGACCCTTCTTGATTCTATAAGACAAGATTCAAGACAAGATGTGAATTTTGCAGATGACAAAGCTTGACAAAGGAGTTTCTGCTCATTTCTGCAGACACTCAGAACAATAAATGAACTGTCACTGGGATTATAGGAAAGCTGAAATGTTTACATGTTTGTCCCCAGTGTCTTAAACATCCACAAGATATGCGTCCAGTGCTAACTACTCCCAGCTGGGTATCTGCCAAACCACATTCTGTTGGTTCTCAAATGGCCATGTTAACTTCCTCCAGCTCTAGCCTTAACCCTCTTCTTTCCACCCCATCAGCTCCTCTCATCCTCCTCGATTTTTTTTTTTTTTTTTGTGGATATGATGGTGGCTGAGAAATAAGAAAGAATTAAAACTAAATTCATACAAAGCTCATTCTAAGAAGTCAAATTATGGGTGACAGAGGTGCTACAACTTGTCATGCAAAACCAAATTCTAGTACTTTGTGCCACTAGAGGACAGTATAACGTAAGAAATACTTAAAACTGCAACGCACAATATAAATGAAATTAGCTATTAGTAGAACAGGACAGTAGATTTGCTCTTGCACTAACACATTTGGTAAGATTCTTTCCACTTGACCCTCTGACTACCCCCTTTTCCATTTGCCTCCCTCGTTTTCATTAGAAGGTAATGAAAACAGTGGAGCATCTAGAATCAGAAGTCAAGTCACTCCTCAATATCATCAGTGAGACCGCATCAAATATTCCCATTGCTCCAGGAACCCCACTTATGGACATTTTTGATGGTAAGTATCTAGTGGGATATAACCTTTAGTCGATAACACTGTTGCACATGCTATTGCCAAATATCTCATCCTTTTTCCACACCAGATGTGAAGAAATTTATTGACTCAATTCAGCATAGCTAAGGCCTTGGCTGAAATACTGGGTCCAGTTTTGGACACTGTTACAGCCACCACTAAAGAGAGGAAAAGAAAATTAATTAATAAACCAACCAGCCAATGAGCTAGATACATGAGGTACACAGAGAGGTTGATAAATTAGGGATGTTTAATCTACAGAAGACTGAAGTAGCCCACCGGAATAACACTGCTGCAAAGACGAAAGCTGTATTTTTTTCACCACTACAAAAGTGAATAAAACCAAAAAAAATGCAACAAAATAATTCCAGAAAAACACAACACACAAATTTTCTTGCAAGACCAATGAACCTCTGGAATTACATGGCTGTAGTTTCTCCAGCACTGGAAATGTTAAAGAAGCATGTAGGAAGGAACAGGTATGTAGTTCAGGATCCCTTAGAACAGCAGGATGGACTAAGGAATCGCATGACTTGAGTTTAATCATCCTGTGATTCTTTAGTTTCATGTGTGACATAAATGAAACAACTAAAAAGGCAACGAAAAACAAAAAAGTTAGTGGAAATATTATAGTTTTAGTATCTTAAATCTAGTTGCCACTAATGCAAAATATGCTCCTAGATAAACGTTTTGGGCATAAATTAAACAACAACAAGTAACTTGGATATCTATCCTGCCCATCATCTTATAACACTCAGTCCTCTTCAGTCCTTGCCTGACTGTCAATAAATCATTTAACAAAGTGAGACACACTGCTGGTGGAGAACAAACCTCTTGAGGAGAGACTTGAGCATCCTGCAGTGATGCTCCTGAAGTCGGTTTTGTCAGTTTTTTGATACAGCTGTACTTTTATGTACATACACATACGCACACAGTACAGAGCACTTCTGTGATATAAGGCAGGCAGAAAGAAGACAGTACTAGAGTTTTATGTTGGTTTTTAGTTCTTCTTGCAGTTGGCTGTAGAGATCTGGGCACCATGACTGTACAGATAGAATTTCCATGTCCTCACTGACTTAGTTATTCACTGAATTTTCCAGAACTCTGTTAAGGGCAGTTAATAGGTAACAATTAAGTTATGCCCCTGCAGTGATCATTTATTTTAAAAAAGTATCTTTGTATCATTTATTTAAAAAAGTATCGCAGTAAAGCGTTACAGTGGATTTAGAATGCAAATCCTAAATCAACTTCTACATATTTACAGCACCTCTACAATAAGTACCACTCAGATGGAAGTTGCATTAACTGCCAACTGGTCCAAGAATTGCAGAGCTGTAGCACCTTCCTTCTGTGGTTTGATGAATCAAACTGAGAATTCCTCACTGTAAAGTAACGGGCATCATATTTTCAATGATGTTTGCCTGGAAAGATTGATCCTGATCTTATAACCAAGAATAATTACATCAAATCTTCTTTATACAGATGCCAGCTGAACACATCAGAGACAGAAGACAGCTGAATGTAACAGTATGGTTGTTATAAACAGTTGCACTTTTGTTCGTTTAAAAAGCTTTCTTATGTTTCCAGAATTTGAGCAGAGATGAACAATTCTGAGCAGTCGTTATCCTTCCGTGTTTTTGTGCTTTTTAATAAAAAAGGTGTTTGCTTTTAGACATCGTTTCAAAGCTCTGTATTTTAAAACTGCATTTCAAATACAGCATTGTCAGTAAGAAAAGAAGATGAGATGGAATCCTGGACTAAACCACAGCTAACAAACTTCCCTTAATTCAAAATGATATTCCTGGCAAAAAAAGTAAGCCCTTGCTATCAGTACAAATCAATGAAGCAACACTTTTAGCTGCAATGTCCTCTCAAGACACAGTTAGATTGTCTGACAAGAAAGAGCACATACAGTAGTCTGGCTTTGGGCATTGTCACATTACTGCCATTGATTGAAATAAGAGTTCTGGTTGCACATCCTATAAAGAATTTGTAGTTAAAATGCACAGTCAACTTATTCTGATGGCTTTACACTCCTCCACCTCGCCTGCTGTGGTGACAATGCAATCTCAAATTAATTCCAACATCCATCTCCCTCCTCATCTCAGGAGGAAGAGGAAAAAATAGAAAGGAAATCGCCGATATTTTATCTTCAATACACAGACAATCAACATGAAAATTAAAAAATACAACAAAAGATAGGGAAGCTGAAGAGTTTCAGAAAAAAAAAAAAGTATATATTTCATTTCCTTCAAAGAAGGATGTTTCAAGCCCCCTCCTATTTACCTGTTCATATCACAATATCACATAATCTTTGCTCCCCACAAATGTGTTTTGTTTTTTTTTTTAACTCTATGTATTGTTTCAAGCTTACGTTCACAAGATCTGAATTTTTCCATGACAAACAAAAACAGAACTTCCTCTAGGAAAAAAGGCCTGTGTGACCTTTAGAGAATGGGGTGTGTGTGGGCATGTGTGTGTAATAAGAGAAGGAGTTTGCACATTCTTGATTAATAAGTAATCTCTTTTCACTGACCTAGCCCTATGCCTCTTCACCCTTGTACTTTTTTGTTATTAACATTTCTATTTTGAGAATGGCAAGCTGAAGATGTCATTCATCCTAGCAGAGAACAAAAAATCAGAGTTCCAGGAGTCAGAGAAGAGATTCCAACATGCACAACAAAAATAATAAGAAATAGCTACAGATTACACATATCTTGAACAGAAAATTGCTCTGCAAACACGTGAGTAAAGTCCTGAACTTTTGTCAGCACACAATTTCTGAATAATTCTGTGGATACAAACAGAAAATGTCTATGGAAAAACTAAAATTCATAAAGCAAGTCCTCACTCCCATGTAGATCAACATGAACAACAAAAAGCATAGTCTGCAACGTTAGAAGATAGACAGCTTTAATTTTATAATCTCTTTTTAGATACATATATTTAAGGCACAATCCAAAACCTTACAAACATTAACTACAGAATGTTTACTATTGTCAATTTTGCTGCTTCCTTGTGACAGTTGCCTTAGTGAGAATGAAATGTGGAACACATCTTCCTCATAAACAAAAAATCAAGCCAAGAAAACAGAACTCACCAAAACCTCTTTAGAACAGTCTTTTTTAGACAAAAAACTTGAGGGCTGTTCTCTTCATGTATTACTGTTATTACAAAACCACTCCTGCATACAATATATATATAACTGGCAATAAAATGGCACATAATGTTTATACAAAATAAAACAACCTTAAATCATACAACTGTGATTTTTGCTCCAGAAAACAAACACATTATTTCAGCAAAATAATATAAGCAGAAAAATAACTTGTCATTCATGGATTGCAGAGGGTACTATAAAGAATCTTGAGCAGATGGTACTTAAGCTTTTCTTTTTTGTTGTTTCTGATTTTTTTTTTCATTTATTACCATTTTTTATTTGGAGAGAAGAGATATGCAATATTATATTTAAAAATGTAATTGTTTTAAGAGAAACAACTCATATTACATCTGCTTGGTGGAAAAAAAAAAAAGATTCTTTAAAGCTAAAAAAAGCAGTTTAAAAAAAAAAAAAGAAAAAGAAGAAGAAAAGTTCAGTGTTCCATTTAGTCATTTCCACCACACAACTTGAGTAGTATTTTCCGGTAGTCTCCTGAAGTATCACCCTGGAAACAAACCCAGAAAAAGAAAAGTTGAGAGCTTGTTCTCTGCTTTCTTCTTTTGGGTGTCGGGGTTCGGGGGGAATGAAAGAGAGGAAGATAAGGTCTAAGCATCTTAAATGCTAAGCTAACAACTAAAAGAGATAAAACCTGGGCTGAGATAAGAGTTTAACTCTTATAAAAAGAAGATACACGGTAAAATCTGTTCTGTCAGTAACTGGAATGGAAAGTGTCCACAGGAGAATGTATTCCTTCAACAAACTGAAATTGGTATACAGGGTCAACTGCCTATTCTGGAAAAAATCAACAGAAATCTTTTATTGAAAAGCTGTCTTCAGCAACAGGTACAGGAAATATAGTAATAAAGAATAAACATAGGAATAAAGAATAAATATAGGAATAAAGATTTTTAAAAGTCATTTTCCTTGGACTCAACATAGATACTTTTTCAAGGGGCAGCAAATGAAAGTTCACACTTTATTATGTTCAAACACTTAAAGTGATGCTCTGGCTTCAAAAGATCCGCCTCCCAAGACAGAGAACATCTCTTTCATTGTTGTGGGCAGTGAAAGCCACTATGAATGTACCTGCAACTATGCACTGAAAAGAAGACTTCATGAACAGTGTCATCATCACAAAAGGCTCTGCTAGCTGAATTTTGCCTGGTGCTCTTAAGACTAAAAAGCATTTCCTGGGAACTGCTCAATAACTACCCTTCGTTGATAAGGCTTGCAAATCCTTGCCAATCCACAGGACAGTTTCAGCTAGTGTATCTATCCATGAAAACTTTTTTCAAGATCAAAATTATTAGGAAAGAAGATATGTCTCAAGTATCAGAATAAATCCTGTACAGACATATAGCACAGTCTGCAAAACATAGAATATTACTGTTTATACATGTGGTGAAGGAACTGCTATGCACTTAGGAACAAAGAGAGAAGAACTAAGAAGTTACTTTTCAAGGATGTTTTTAACTCTGTTTTTACAGAGTAAAGGTAGGATTTACATGTATGCCCCACACTTACTGAAAACATGTTTTGAATAAGTTCAGTCCAATACGTGGAAATGTGTTCCTATTTCTGAACTGTACAATTACTTAAAATTGGTTATTGCTAATAACGTCAGATCAGAAGAGGAAAAAATGCAGACATACAGCTTTTCCACCAGTGTCTCACCGTTACTTAATTACACCTTGGTGGTTTCAGAGCATATAAACACTGTAAAAGAGCATCTTCACTACAGAGTTAGACTTGGAAAAAGCTTCTGCTAGTTGATCCTTTGTGGCTCATGACCAGGAAGACCACATAGTTACCGGCAAAATAGCCGAATCAATACTTTTTGGTGCACATGATACCTTTCACCATTTCTCCATGTTTCCTCCCAAAGACCTAGTTGAATCTCCTCCATGTCAACAACAGGAGAAATATACATGGACTTAACAGATTTGGCACCTTCACTACATGGTGAATGAAAGTGGCACCACTCACTTTCCTCCATCTCTAAGTTTTCCCATTAGTCAGGCATTCTCTTGACTTGCTGCAGCTGCATTTACAGCAGTAATAGGGCAGATCATCTGCTAAAGAATCCTAGTGATGTTTATTTTCCAACTCTTGCACTTTCAAGGAAAATAAGAGGCAATCTCTCAAAAGCATATTAGAAGCTTTAAACTTTTGCAGCACACACATGAGGTAAAGCAACATTATTACTTATTTGGAAGACTAAGTTGTTTCTACAAGGTCATACATGGAGATTGGGACAGAGACCAGACTAACACCCAGGTCTCTGAAACCTCTCTGGACTAATTTTCCCTTCTTTCCCGTTTGTTGGCTTCCTTCCCATCTCTGGCCCACACAAAACCAAGTGCTGTCTGCTCCATGGCACTTCAGACTTCACTCCCCTAATAAATGGTGTCACCGTCCCCTGGGGGTGTTTAAGGAGAGGCTGGACACGGTGCTTAGGGACATGATTTAGTGGGTGATATTGGTGGTAGGGAGATGGTTGGACCAGATGGATCCTGAAGGTCTTTTCCAACCTTAATGATTCTGTGAAATGCAGCAAACCAAACACAGCTACAACTTGGTGGAGTTAATAGCTATTGAGTGTAAGAATCCATGTTCTACTACCAGAAAGGATGCCACATCAGGAGGAAAAAAAAAAAAAAAAAAAGAAAAAAGTCTTACAGTAATATCTGTGTAGAGGGATTTGCCATACATCCGCTTGTATTCTGCACGTATGTCCAGCAGGTCAACCTCACTGCGTGACACCATGATTCGAATCAGAGTTCTGTCTTTTGTTCCTGCTCCCTGAAACAAACAAAACAACAACATAATACATTAATAATATGTGGAACTGTGGATAATACAGCACTAGTCAAAAACAAAAAAATCATCACCTCACAAAAGGCCAACCCATTATTAGCATAACCCCACTGACTTCAATAAGCTTGAAGAGAATTTGGCCTATCATGCTTTAATAAATTAAATTTACTGGCAGGACACTAACAGTCATTTTTATGCACAAAAAAAAAAGGGGGTGAGGGTTGGGAGGGTCAAAGGGACACAAAGCCAGGAACGTTTGGTGGGTTTAATGACCTATGTTTTCATTTCAGCTAGCCCTCCCTACTGAAAAATAGCAATTTCAGCAAGTCTTAAGCATATTCTTAATCATTTTACTAATGGAAAAATTTATTTGTTTGATGTATGGTTACATACATCTTTGGTAACTGGATCAAATAAGGTAGGCTTTTTCAGCCTTTTATAATACTGACTGTATCTTGTTAGTCTTCTAACTGAAAACAATTAATATCTTCTGCTTATTCATAATGGTTTTGCTTTTTATTATTATTATCCTTTCCAAGGTGGCTAAAGGATATATTCCAATGAGCTGTACTAGCATTTTAAAACACATGCTGTAAATTTATGTATCTTATCACAGACACCTACCTTCATAGCATTCCTCAACCTCTCTGCAAAAAAAGCTGGTGTGTTCTTGAGGCACTTAACTGCAAAAAGAAACAACCACAGAAGTCACATACTCCTACTCAATCAATACTCATGGTCATTTTTCAAGCTTAGTCACATGCTTTAAATTTTACATAAACATACACTTGCAGCTTCCACCCCTTCAGTTAGTCACCACAATGATTTTTAATCCAAACACTAGCTGCAACAATGAGAACCTGCAACTCTTCATGGTTCAAAGCAAACTTTTCAGTCACTAGCATCTATCTAGTGTGAAGCAGCCATAGCTTTTACATCTAATTTTTGGTAAGAAAAAAAAAACAAAAAACAAAACAAAAAACCAAACAAACAAAAAAAAAACCACTTCTACATCTAGTGACCAGACTCCTGCTTCTGAAAGGAACACAGAGAATGGACAGAAGGCATAAAGGAGAACACACTTAAGGGCCCTTAGCTTTTTCTTAAATTAAGTAATTCTAGGCCACACATCTGCAAGGGGTAACAAATTCAAATCCTGTCCTAAGCTGGGATGGAATGCCTGAACACAAGAAGCCATCTACAATAGGAACCTCACCCTTTATTCAAAGTCAGTTACATGTTTCTTTAGCCACAAAGTTCACCAGGATTCTTGAAAAATTCTTGACATGTGTATTGACTAATGACTATTTTTTTCCATTTAATTAGCACAGTTCATTAGGAATCTTTTAAGATCAAAATCCAAATCAAATTACTGTTATATTAGCCAGTGTAATATGAGAATCCTTCATCACACATGAGAATTAAAATCTATATATTGATCCTATGTTGGGTACAAGTAAACAATCATGCAAACAATCTGTGGCAAACTACACAGAAAACAAATCACACCTGACTTATATTATACAGCACAAAAAGGTATCAAAGCAAGATAGAATAAAAGCACTAGACCTAAATAGGTATATTTCACAGCAACACACATTCTATACAGGCAAAAGAACTTTTCTGAGTAGGAAAATGTATAAGTGAGAGAGAGAGAGAAGTTCAACACACAATTGTCAATGGTATGTACAATATATTTCGAAACAAATGACAGATGAAATGCATGTTTCTTGATCACTGTTAAAACACAGCTGGCACTTTAAGATGTTTTAATATGTTATTGTAAATTACCAGTTGTACAATCCAGAAAGCTTTAAAGAAAGCAAAATTAAATATTTTCAATTAGAAAACCTTTCTTTTTCCTGAAAATTATGTTCACAGAACAAACGATGCTAGATATATATACACGTGTGTATATACATTCACATATAAATAAAATCAAAATTTATTCAATAGTTATTTAGTGCATATTAAAGACAATTCTTCCTCCAAAGGCTATTGACTTCTTTTAAAGTTACAGACCCAATTCTGAATCTATATCCACATGAAATATCTGTCACGTGCCTGCAAAGATCCTTGAAGTCAAAGGACTTCCAAATTCCGACAGTACAATTTCCTTATTGAGGTCATGTTCTACAAACATGGGGCACTGTTTCTTTTCTCTAAGCCTGTTTTGCTAACGTTAATACTTCCTGAGGTGACAAATTCTGAACCCTGGAACAGGTCTGCAAATTTAGCACACTAATAGAACTGGATCCAGCATAGGTCATTATTGGGTCATCATTGTAAGGGGCAGCTTTGCCAAGTAGGGGAAGAATAATACTTATATAATTCACACATGCACCAGACAGGAGTGCAAAAAATGACCTTCTAAAAATTGATTCCCGTTTTGAAAGATTCTGTTATAAAGTTCCATGAAAAAAAATCCACAACTTTGTTTCAGATGAGCAAAATGCTCTCTCCTATCTTATTCCCAGTGATATAAAATAGTATTTTCCTATTTATTTCAATAGGATCAGAGTCAGGTGTTCTTTTATTTATTTATGGCTTTTCATC